AATATAATATACAAGTTTCACTTTTTAAATGGAATTACTGAAATAAATCTACTTTTTCATGATATTCTAATTTTATGACCAGCACCTGTATTTCATGAAGGATGAAATGTTATCATAAATGTTTTACAAAATGATTAAACCTCGTGAAATTAAATAAATTTATTTATATATAAAGCTCTGAGTAGAATTAGTAGTTTTAGTAAAAGGTCACATGACCAAAGCCTGGGGTCCTTATTTCCAGAAGAAGGAAAGCTGGTTGATGGATCAGTGTTGGTGGAACCAATCAGAGAGATCCATGAGGAATCAGAGGACCTCCCCATTTTGTAGATTAACCAATCAGATGAATGAACTGTGAGCTATAAAATGGTTGTAATATACAGTTAAGTGTATTTTGTCTCTACACATTGAGGAGGACACAAGGGACCCACAGCTGTGAATTCCTTTGTTCAACTTCTCTGTGATAAATGTATTAACTTTACTAAGTGTTTGTTTGGTTTCTCTTGAAAATGAGCAAGTCTTTGCATCTGTTCTCACTTCTGCAGTGATCTTAATAAATGCAACACGCCCACTTTTAGCCCAGGTTATTCATTTTAATGTTGGTTTTTACTTCCAGTTTTGGTTATTATATCTGCTTGTTCCGTGTTTCCTCTTTGCACTCAGTCAGTTTCCTGTTCCTCAGTCAGACTGCCACGCCCACTTCCCCTGCTCTCAGTTTCACCTCTTCATTATGTGTTCTCACTCCACATTTGATATTCTGTACTGAATGTGTGATGATGTGAAACTCTTGATTAGTGACGCATAAGTCCCGTCCCACATAGTGCAGTGAGATATAAGCAGTTTCAGTGCATCGACTGAAAATTTGTAATTATTGGATAATAATAATAATCTCAATAAATCTACCCAGTGATGATTCCTGCCCTTCTGTTTCTGTTTCTGCTCAGGCCCCGCCCACTCTCACCTGTGTGTGTGTGTGTGTGGATGGGTTTTTCATACAACGTGGGGTATTTTTTTACAAAAAAAGCAGCCAGGTGGGGACTGAAGTGAATCGTGGGGAC